GGTGAATACACTGATTTAATACATATTATTGATAATTTTTACAATGGTTGGGACCAGGCTGTTCTTACTTGATCAGTTCGTGCACATGGAGCTGGATGCAGTTTGTGGTGTCAGACAGCAATTCTCGGACAGGGATCTCAGGTGGTAGTAGGGGCCGGTGTGAGAGGATGGTGTAGAAGCTTCTTGCTGGAGATTGCAGATGAGGTCGTGGTGATGGTCAGTGAGAGTCAGAAAGAGGTCAGTGTGTTGGGCCTTCTTGATATGTGGAGTGGGAAGGGGAGAATAATCTTGCATGCCCTCTTTTGCACTTTCTAGAGTATTTACGTTGTGTGGCATTTGGGGAGGAAGACCAGGTGGGGGAGGCATAGGTGAGCTTAGGGAAGTATGAATGTTGTGTAAACACTGAGGAGCTCAGGTGCAGGAACTCCGGGGACTTGGTCGGCGGAGGAGGTGGAGACAGAGCTGGAAGTTGACCTTCACTGACGTGTGCTGGTTTCCAATTTGGTTGTTGTCTGTGACGCCGAGGAGCTTCGTGGAATCTACAACCTGGAGTGTGTTCGGACCTAGGAGGTAATGGAAGGAGGTGGGACAATGTCGGAGGAGAGGTTGATGTGCATAACCATTGTCTTGAAGTATGGTTGATGGTGACATGGTTGTTGTTGGCCCAGTTTTGGAGACTGTTCAATAAATCCTGAAGAGGCTGATATAGTTGGGGAGCGGAATTGGTGACGCTGATCCCAATGGTGGAGTCGTCGACATATTTCCAGCGAGCAGGGGCTTCTCTTGGGGCATCATTATTGAGCATAAGGAAGCAGAGTGGTCCCATCTTGGTGCCTTGGGGGACGCCACAGGTGAGTGACTGAAAAGGTGCAGAGACAGCCCCCTCAAGAAGCGTACAGCTTGGCGTCGGTCACTGAGAGTCTGTAAGCCATGGTATAGAGACTTCTCCGAAGCCCGAGGTCAATAAAACTGTTTATGATTATATTGGCCAATTCATTTAGGTCCAGAACGCTTTAAATATATGAAATCAATGAAGGCAGCAGCTACGGGCGTTTTCGTTTCAGCGAGGATGGCGGTATATGTAATCGAGAAAGCTGACCAAGACAGTGGTGGTGGAAGGAGTTTTCATGTGTTGCCAGAGTGCTGGTCTACGACTCCTGCAATATCAGCATAAGCCAGTCAAACACAAAACTTTCACAGATTAGGCTGGGTATTGGGAGGTGATTGCAATAGGTCGTAGCCAGTTTAGGATTATGGGCTGGTTGACTTGGGCACTGGTGATACATAAGAGGTCTTCAGTCCAGCTGGGCATCTGGCTTGACTGAGAGAAGCATTGATGATGGAGCAGGGGTTTAGCAAGCTCGAGGGAAACTCAGCAAGATAGTTTCATTATTGAAGTCAATGGGGTGTAGGTAGAGCGTTTTAATTTTAGTTTGTCCAGGCGTTTTTGCTGCGTCAAATTCCTCTCTACTAAGTCAGTGGGAAGGGGGGCTGGTAGAGTAAGCAAGGGAGTGGTTGTGTCAAGCCAAGTAGGAGCGTCTGGCATATAATGTGAAATGGTTATTTGTTTGCTCAGCTGCGTCAACGCATTAGTGAGGTGGCTAAGGAAGGGAGGGAGTGTGTCATATTGTTTAGTCCCACCTGCAGAGTTCTTTAAGCTTACCATACCATTGACCAGTGTTGGTCTGCCTAGTGTTGTAATTTGGTTGGGGTAGTGGGACTTCTTTGCAGTGTATTTCACTTGGATGACTCTGTTGCAAGAAGTGACCTGTGGCAGATGTAATTCGTGAGATGAAATGCTCCTGTCTCTCTCTGTTGCATAAGTCTTTTTGATCCGAGGTGTGTGATCCAGGGCAAGTCAGCTAGAGTGAGATCTGACGGACTTCTCAGGGAAGAAGTGGTGAAGTGAAGAGCTTCGGTGGTGGTGTTGGTATAATTTATCAATTTGGTTTCCCGTCATCACGCGCTGGGTACTTCCAGTCCATGGATAGTGAATATCCACTGTCAAAGGCCCGTACTGCAGAGTCAGTAAAAAAATCGGCCTGTGGGTCTTGATGTAGAGGTCTCCTGTACTTGAGAGTGGGAGTGGCAGGTGGGGACAGAGCACTGATAAGTGTGTGCTACACCCGACAGGGCTGGCAGTGGTTGAGGAGGTTGGTACTGGTCCGCTAAGTCCAGTTAAGATAAAGGTCAAAGTGTTTTGATGACCGTGTGTGGGAAAGGTCACAACTTGTGATAGTGATAGCTGGTCCTGGATATCAGTGGTGTCAATTTCATTTAAATCCCACATAATACTAACTTATTTTATGGGTACCCTAACTCCTGGTGGTCTGGTGGTAATGAGATGATTGATAGAGTGTCTCTGGTGGGTGATCGGGCGGATGGTATACCACACAGATTATAATGGAAAAACAGTGTTGCGTGGGTGTGCCCGCAGCACGACGTACCCATGCTTCACATCTGGGGACTTGAACATCAGGCGTGACAGGCGTGGGGTCATCTTGACAGAAAGAAGACGCGCCCCTCCGCGTCTTTGTGGACGAGGTGATGAAAAAGTTGATATCCTTCAATGTGACGTTTCAGGTGTTACAATTTGCCAAGTCTCACATATGCTGGCAACCCGCGGCAGTTGACCTGACTGCCAGTGCCAGCTCGTCAGACTTGTTAGCTAGAGAGTGACGTTGGATAGCAGTAAAAGACGGAGATCATGCCATATCCATGGAACTTCAGTGTGGTCGGTATTTATGGTCTGTCAGGAGTGGGTTCTCGGTTTCCTAGTGGAGGTTACGGTTCTAATACTGGGCTTATGGCACGTGACGGCCTTGTCTACGGCTCCATGGCGTGGAATATTTTCAGTGACTTGAGTAGCGCGATAACATATCAGGATAATTTCCACTTTAGATGATACAAGAAGTGCGTCAGGAGTAAAGTGATTGAGTGTACATCGGTTGAAATCTGTTGACGAAGACGGACGGACGTGTTCGTCACTATGGCGGCACTGAGGGACACTGACACTGGTAGACATCTGTTAATGTTTGTCGGTTATGAAGACCGTGGACTTTGTCCTCGGTGCTTAGAGATCGCCGACACAGTTTTTCACGATATATGTAAACACCGCAGTGGTCCTTGTCACTGGCACTTTAAAGTTGACCGATAAAAGTGCCCACTGTCTGACTTTTCCTTGGGGTGCACTATCGAGCTGTATGAAAACATCATATTGCACTGATGGCTACAGATAACACTTAGAAAAGTTCCTTAAGTGCAGTATAGGAACACTGCTCCGTAATCATTTCGTTCACTAATCACTAGAATGTTTTGCTGAATCGATCTCCTGGTGGCAATAAGGCTGGTAGGGCGTTGGGAGGTATAGCAGAAGTGGGCAGAACCAAACAGATTCAGCCTGGCTCACTAAAACCGAGCGCCTTCAGGCACGTCTTATCTCACTGAGGGTTGACAAGGGTGTGGGTGTGTGTGTGTGTGTGTGTGTGTGTGTGTGTGTATGGTGTGTGTGTGTGTGTGTGTGTGTGTGTGTGTGTGTGGGAGTGTGTGTGTGTGTGTGTGTGTGTGTGGGAGGTGTGTGTGTGTGTGTGGGGGTGTGTGTGTGTGTGTGTGTGTGGGGTGTGTGTGTGTGTGTGTGTGTGGTGTCTGTGTGTGTGTGTGTGTGGGTGTGTCTGTGTGTGTGGTGTGTGTGTGTGTGTGTGTGTGGGGTGTGTGTGTGTGTGTGTGTGTGTGTGTGTGGAGGTGTGTGTGTGTGTGTGTGTGTGTGTGTGTGTGTGTGTGTGTGTGTGTGTGGAGGTGTGTGTGTGTGTGTGTGTGTGGGTGTGTGTGTGTGTGGGGTGTGTGTGTGTGGGGTGTGTGTGTGTGTGTGTGTGTGTGTGTGTGTGTGTGTGTGTGTGTGTGTGTGTGTGTGTATGTGTGTGTGTGTGTGTGTGGTGTGTGTGTGTGTGTGTGGGGAGGTGTGTGTGGTGTGTGTGTGTGGAGGTGTGTGTGTGTGTGTGTGTGTGTGGAGGTGTGTGTGTGTATTTGTGTGTGTGTGAGGTGTGTGTGTGTGCATCTCAGTTCACCTTCAAAGAATTTTAGCTTCGATTTAACGTGAATAAAAATAAAGCCATGTTTGTTTCTTAGATTAATATTCGTTTCCGAAATACTGGAGAGATGGCGAACTTTCAATAAAGGGAGAGAGAGAGAGAGAGAGAGAGAGAGAGAGAGGTGAAAGACGGAGAGAAACAGCTCAGAATTTATGAAATACAACAGACTTTTTACACGACAAACTAAAATAAATAAAATCGAACATAAACCTAGAAAAATATAGAAACAACAATAAAATAAACAAGATATAAAAAAAAAATTATAAAATAAAACCTCACTTTATGTTAGCCCAGCAGGACAAGCAAAAAAAAAAAATAATAATGAGCCTGTTACTCCCCTCGACGTAAATAAAGATCAGCTGTTGAGTGTAAACATGAGGTGTGGGCATGGGAGCGTCTTGGCGGGAACGAAACAGTAAACAAACTCCAGCGCCGCCACAAGTGAAGTCAAATTGGATTTTCTAGTTTGTGAGTCTTCAGCGGAGCTCTTCACCACCCCGACTCTAAAAGGTTTACGTGTAAGACATTCTCATTAACGATTAGGAATACTGAAACAGATTATTATTATTATTATTATTATTATTATTATTATTATTATTATTTAGGAAAAGAGTAAGGAGCCACTCTCGGACCTGGCAGTAACGAGCGAACACGTAAGGATAAACACAACATTTTAATTCCACTCTAAGATTAACGCTCCACATTTTTTTTTACAATATTCTGAAGTTAAGGCAGAGAAAATTTATCTTAAGCCATTAATACACAGAGACCTTCATGTATAACCGAGAGAATATTTATGTTTCAATATTCACAGTGACCCGGCATCCCATTGAACCAGTTTTAGCGGAGTCTATTCACACGAGGAGAGGATCTGGTGAATGGTCCCCGAGACACAACAACAACACTCAAGTT